GTTGAGTCATTTGAATACATTTATCGAACTATCTGATCGGTCTATAGAAAACTTATAATCGAATTTGTTTTCTTGCATTTATTACAAAATGTTTTTTACGATAGATTGATAATATCGATATCGATATCGATATCGAGTATTATTGATATGACGAATAATGATTTAACAAATTGTAGTTTCAATGTAATATTTTTATTTCGTCTCAGCAAACCTACATTATTTAATAATTTAATAGTAAGATCAGCTGAGTTGATAAAAAAACGTTTTAAAGAATAGATATATAAAAATATCTCTCACCTCTACTCATTGTATATTATCTTTGCACATGCATTAAACTGAAAAAATAATTTAATTTTTTATTTTATTTGTAATACGGCGATTGTTAAATCATTTAATTAAATTTAAACGTTTTAATTTAAATTTATACATTTTAATTAAATCTACACATTTGAGACATTACTGGGATATTAGTGGGCATTACTGGGCATTATAGGGCTTTATTGAGCATTACGTAAAAAATTTGGCAGTAATGCCCAGGAATTAGGCATTATTATTAGGCATTGGTGGTATAGGATTTTGGTCAGAGTTTACCTCTCGACTTGAACGTAGCAAATTTTCTAACTCTTTCTAAATATAGAATAGTATTTAATTAATGTAATTATGAGAAATATCCGATTATGAAAAATAGAAGTAACATATATACTTTTCTTAATAATGTACATATTATTATTAAGTAATTTACATAAACAATTGTAAACTAAAAAGAAATAGCTAATTGTAATCAACCAAATAAATCAACGAAAAAATTTCAGTTTAAGCATGCACGATAATTTAGAATTAAAAATGAGAAAAGATAAAACAATGACGAAAATCGTATTCAATTTAAATAACATTATTTTTTCTTTTCTTCACATATAAAAAATAAAAATATTAGCACAATACTCACACAAATCTTAAGTTTCATTTATATTAATTGGAACACAACACAATGTGCGAAGTACGCTTACAACATTTGTTCTTAATTCACTTGTACATATAATAAATATTTTTATATTTAAATAAAATTATACAATATTATTAATACAAATACTAAAAATTATATTTATTTGTATGTAACAAATTATTTATATAATGTATTATTTATATATTAAAATTTCCTCAACTTTATGCACAAATAAACCAAAAGTTTTCTTATTTTTTTATTAAAGGCGCTTAAATATGTTTTATATGTAAAGTTAAAATTCTTTCTGATTAAACAACTGATCTTATTTTACTGTTTGTAATCTTCCATTATCTCCCATATTATTTGGGCCATATTAAATAACTACATAATAATGCTTAATAAATATAATTTACTGGATGAAAAAAACAAGATCATTTGTCTAATCCAATATTTTTATCAATTAATTATTTTCTAAATTCAAATAACATCACAGATTTCTATAAGTAGACTGCTGATTCAATGTGATAGAAAGAGACGAACCTGATTCCGAGCTATTCTTTCTTTTTTTTTGCTCAAGCACATGCATACGTTCAGTCTGTGAATATATGACGTATACTGAGCAATAATTATCCGTGTAATTTACAATATATATGTGTGAATGTAAAAAATTAAACATAGTGCTGCCCAACCTATCTTCAAACATGTCGGCGAAATCGACAGTCTACTTATAGAAGTCTAAATAACACAAATACATAGCAAAAAATTACTTCCAATAAGGTTTCTTAGATAGATTTTTCTGCGCTCGGATTCTTGAATGCTGAAAACGCACACTCAATACTGTAAATCAAATTTCTCCATCACGTCAAGTTTTCGAAATAATTGACGTATAATACGCAAAAAATAGCTTTTCTGCAACATTTAACATTTTTCTGTGAAAAAGATGATCTTGAAATGCTGGTAAAAAATTATAAACGTATTGTTCATTTTCTATAAAATGCATTTTTTTTATTTCAATAATTTTTTTAGCTATGTTATGAAGATTTTAAATATAAGACCTTTCTAAAATTGTAAATTTTCCGTTATGATAATGAAATCACATATGTATATTTATTAATTTCTAAATTGTCGATACATAATGTAATTTCTTGTAATAAATTCCACTAAATGTATAATATACATATACATATATAAATTCACAGAGAATATGTGTGTTATATCGAATTCAGGCCATCCTTTTATTTTCGCAGGATAAGGTCTAATCGAAAAAATGTTCTGACAAAAGTTGTATGATTTAAAAAGATCTATTTACTGATCTTATTAGTTTGACCTTGATAAGTAACCAAATTTGTTAAAGTCAGATCGAGTTTACGTTGATTTTTTTAAATAAAAACCTCCATTTTCATTGCATATTTTTGTAGCTTATCTCGAAAGCACTTTAAAACACTATAATCAATATTTTTTTCATTAAGTACTTTTTGAGTTATGAAGTTTGAAAGTTATAGTTATCTTCGGCATTTGATTGTACGTGATAACCGTATGGACATATCTTTATCGCCATAACCGTTAAAATTATGATTATCTTACAGTTATGATTGTAAAGAGTCACAATCGTACTTCTTATAATCAAAAAATGTATGGATAGACTATTTTTGATTGTGGCAACCGTAGTCGTTTCATCCGTGTACATGTGAAAACACAAGCAATAGGGAATAGGAAATAAAAGTCTCATAACGGTCGAAACTGAATCTTTAATGCTTAAATAATTCAACGTGAATTTATATACTATATGTACATGCATGCATATATACTATATTTGTAGCAATTTGAACTGCGCGCCGAATTAATTTTTCGAGACTTAAAAACACAAAGAATTAAATTACTGAAGTAATATCACAATTAAATTTTTGATGCTCAATAGACATCTATTAAACAGATTTTCACATCAAGATAAATCAATCCATTATGTGTTATTTTTGAAGTAAACAACATATATTAATACACTTATAATTAATGAATAATAATAAATTTAAATCAATACATTCCTTGTTTTAAATTGATTAATTCCATTGTTTTAATTAAATTAGCGATATACAAAATATGAGCAGTAATCTATGGAAATGATAAAAATAAAACAAATTAATATAATTGCTCATTATATATATGAATTTAATAGCAGAGATCCAAATCTCGAAAACTAAAAGCTCTTTTCTTTTAATAAATTTAAAATTACAAACTACCAAAATTGTGCAAAATTTATTCGATTAATTCGAATTGTTTTCGGTTCTCATGATTTATACACACTTAATAATTGGAAATGAGGGATTAAAAATTGAATAAAATTTTAAATTAATTTTAAGTTTTATTTAATTATCAGAATCCCGTTCTAATTATCAAATGTAAAAATAAACGAAATTAGTTTCAAATTTTATTAAACTTCCAGCTATTCTGAAATTAAACTTTTTTTGTAAAATTTTATACACGTACAAATTATGTAACGCGTTAATACTGTAATTAACTTTATTGTAAATAAATGTATGTATAATATTATTAGGTATGTAATATAAAATTTATGTAAACTATGTTATTCAGATGAATGCTATAATCATCAACTTACTTTTGTAAAATTTACACAATAATTCCCGGGAAAAAATATAATATATATGGACATATTTTATAAATAATGATATATAATTGTATATAAAATATGTCAATTTTTTATATGATTATGTATAATTTTATATAATTATATATAATTATACATAAAACATTTTTGTATAATTATATATATATATATCCGTATTGAATGTCTATTCAATACAAATAGCACTTATCTTGTCTCGATCTCAACTCTGAATCAATGGTCTGTTCTGTTTAGCTGCAAAAAGAAAAATTAAATTATGCTTCGACATGTTGATCCGATATCTAATAGAGAATTTATTCATTTCCTAGAGACAAAAACATCACTAAACATTGCATATGTCTTTATCACAGTAATTACTACTTGTGTAAAATATTTGTTAAATATTTTTCAAAAAATTAAATTTAATTTTTTAATTTAAAAAATTAAACAAAACAAAAATAAGAAAGTTACATTCGACTATTCACCGGCATATATTTTTATTCGAATCTCGTGAAAGAATCATAAAAAAAATGACAGATATTATATAAAAAAACGAAAAAAAGAATGTTGAAAAAAAAAAGAAGATTGCAAATATCGAAAGATATATATATATTGACATACACTTGATGTTACTAAAATTGAAATTTTTTTTTTAGGAATTTGGGAATGCATAAAAAAGTCACGAATCATAACTATTTGCTTTATAATGCTGCATAGTTCAATAATTCAAGACTTTTATATATTTCGCAATTTATTGAAAAAAATGTATTTCAATCTTATTCAGTATAATATAGGTACGCGGTATTAGGCGCTTCTAAAACATGGCGCCCTTCCCTCCCTTTTCGAACTCGCTTACCGTGTTCCGCCCCTGATTGCTCGTTATTGATTTGCAAAAGTAATTCATTACCGTTACCATCATTCAAAATGTAAAGAGTCGTTACTTTTTATATTAATAAATAAATTTCTTACATTATATATCGAGTTTTATATCGTAAAATGCTTTTTTGCATGTGCTTTTTTGCACATAATGATACAAAGCAGATTTCTTATTGGATATTGCTCATCTCTCGTCGTATCCTGTGTGTAATAGGCATTAAGGCCTCTATTTTCCATTTGTTGTAAATGCATAAATGTAAAAAAATAAACTATATATAATTTTGCTCGTGTTCAGTTATGATATGTTCCACTTCGATGCATTATGCTTCATATTGCCATCAAAAGAAAAGTATAGGATATTTTTTAGTTAAGTTACAAGATATTTATTAGTTTGTAAAATATTATTCTAAAACAGATTTTTCCTGTAAACTTGAAATCAAAATAATATATTTGACGAGCTGCTAACATAAGATGCTATTTGAAAATAACAGTTTTAAATTTACCACTTATTTGTGACGTCACACTTTGACAATTTTGATTGGTCGCATGCGTGTAGCATTCGCATGGGCAGTGATGGGATCTGGCAACACTGTCGAAAGCACGTTATGAGTATGACTGTGAATTGTGACTTGTGCGTGTGAGCACGTGTTTTGTATGAATATCACGAAGCCTCATAAAAAAGATGGGTGATATAGCACAGCGACCAATTATAATCCGCGATGCACAGCAGGATGAATCGAAAAATCCTGCCTTTGTCACGAAACGCGATCGTATAGCGAGACAATATCATACTATCAGAAGTTGGAAACCACAGAGTGATGTGTACATAAGCCCATTACATTATTCTCTATTAAAAAGCCATATTTCTCTCTCGATAACACTTTAGACGATTTGTTTCATCGTTTAGACCCGTTAGTGCGGGCACGAAGAATTGTACAAAAAAAATTTTCTTCGCGGTAACACCTGGTAAAATAATAAATCTTTTAACCTAGATGGCCATTGATAGTTGGACGCGGTATTCTGATCGGCACGACGGTGATCACTAGTCTTTATTTGAATCACCGATTTAGAGCGAGGATGAAGCTCCGAGATGGGGTATTTCCTACAATGATAGGTCTCGCAGTATCGCCAGCTGCAGTGACAGCTATAGTCCATACGGAGGTATTGACGCAAAAACTGATTAAATTCCTATACAGCATGATGTCCAAGAGACATTTTAAAGACGTTTAAAAGACATTCTTATGTCCTCTCTCTATAGCTCTGGATGTATCAGAGTAGCGTAATTCTTTTATCTGAGTCAAATGCTAATAACTTTTTCAGTGGCTATTTTGACCACTATTTTGGATCTGATCTGTTGTCCTATAAATAAATAATAAATAATACCCAATAAGCGAGAATGGATTAAAATGAATTGAAATTTTAATCCATTTTAATCCAAATGCTTTATTTTCACTTTTTTTATATTCAATTGGATGAGAAAAGTTTTTTTTAGATATAATTGGATTGACAAACTGTATTTCCTATTCAACCTATTTAAGGTTTTAAATTGAGTAGTATTTCACGATGCATTTAAAGAACTGAAATTTTTTTTTTTATTAAAAGGCATAGAAATATGCTTTATGCACATCCTATAAATAAATAAAAATACATTAAGATTAAAAAGGATTTATTTCAATGTTCGCAAATGCATACTTTTAAAAATCTATATTCATTTCAATCCATTTTTCTTTACAGGATAAGTAAGTTCAGTACAAGGCTAAGTGAATAAACCTAAATAACCTAAATAAGCTTAGTAAATTTTTAATATGGTTATCAGATTTCTCAATACGTGGTGGGCCTTTGCATTACTCTGGTGCACCTAGAGCTCTATTATGAATTTCTTATCCTTTTCAGGATGTCTCTTGAATAAAGTATGTTTTATGGGTTGGATCAACGACCCAAGCAAGGAGTTTGATAATACAAAATATTATATATATCTTTCAGTTGATCATGAATAAGCTATTATTATTAGAGATACCATGTCCTCTATGCTTGGAGTCTAAATCTGCTTTGATGCAAACTTTTAGCGGAGTGTTTTTGCCATTGATACTTGTACCGCTTGGAAACTTCTCAGTAAGTGACAAAATTTTGCTTTCTATTACTGTTTTTTACGATATTGATACTCTTTTGATTAGTTTTATTACATCTTATATTTGAATCACAGATTGCTACTGGCTGTGGAATATATGTGCCACACGTAACTGACATAAGAGGAATATTTATACATGTCCTATCACTCTATCAGCCGATGTTTCCCAAGATTGCAATGATTTTTACTTTTCATGCGTTACTAGCTGGTTTTATAACATATTCAGAAATCAAATCTTATTTTCGAATGTTAGATATGCAACATTTAATAGAAGAAGAAAAAGAGCAGAAATTTGAAAATAATATTCTTTGAATTTTATTGCATTATAGTGTATATAATTATTGTATATATAATTGTAGTAAAATATATATATATATATATATATATATACAAATATAAAATTGATATTTAAAGTCCATTCTATATTAGATCAATATTTAATAATATTATAAGGACAACAGAAGAATATAAAATGAGTTTTGTAGAATATAAAATGTATTTTTATTTCATTGACATAATATTATAAGATGTCTAGTTATAATCATTCACTGATATTCACTATGCGTCTCGTACATTTCTATTCCTTTTCTCAAAATTAATCCAATGTCTAGGCACCATATGATTTGTTATAGTAATAAACGCTTTCCAACTGTTTAAAAAGATCGCTGCTTTAAATGTTGATAATACAATGCAACTTTTCTGATTTAAGAGAGTTTTTTCATATAATGTTGACTCACTTATTTAATATAAAGTTTAACTTACTTAATATCGAGTCAAACGTATATTTCATTATTAATGTTAAATATAATACGAATTTATTTATAGGCTCAAGTAAAATAGCAAATTCGATATTTTCAATTACTCCGATTAGATACATATTTCATCGTGGAAAAATCTAGAAATATTTTACGCAGGCTTCCAATATTTAATAGATATGAATTACGACCGAGGTCAAATTACGCTTATTCTTCTATTATGTTAAACGAACTACTTCAACGTCATATAATTAAATTTGGGAACTTCTTGAATTTCTACCCCAGCTTATATAAACAAAAATGTAGTATTCTTATTTTATATGCCTATATTATACATTTTTCTACATATTTTAATTAGGAAAAAAAAGAAATCTTTCTTCATATGGTTTGGTTTCTAAAGTCAAATTGGGCATAGGTGACCACGGTTTTGATTTGCCAACTACTCTAGAGTTAAGTATATTACTGGCAGTTTACTGGACGTCATACAGGGGCCCGAGTAGCAAGGAGATCCCAGGAACTATGTGTATGCGATAAGAATATATAAAAGATAACACCAGATGCAGACGCATCAATTCAACCAAAGTATAACAATATGATCCGTTTATTTTTTCGGTATAAGAGTAGGATTTGTATAATACCTACAACAATGGTTATGTTGGCAGTGAATGAAATCAGCTATCATATAGCCGTGGAATCTAAGAAGCAAGACAGTTTAATATAAAATATGCCTGAACTTTCTCTCTCTTCTATTTATATATGTGACAATGCTGTTTAACATACCGCGCATTTAAGGTACATACACTGACAGATGTTTTCCAGATGTTTTTCATTTTCTGTGCCATTTCATGAAATGCACGTTAGCCATAATTCAATTGCTATAGTACATATAACTGTATTTTTGCTCTTTTCCATATTACTTTTATCTACTTTTAAGTTGGAAAAGATTTTAGCTGATTATAATGAATGAGTCATTACCATGATTTGCACAGCAATCAACATCACAATGAGATCGTCATTTTTGTTTTAATGTCTTACACCTATATATTATGTCTATACCTATTTTTTGTTAGTGGTGATGTAGTCCATTGCTTATTTACAGTAGAGGTCCCATTCTAAAGTTTATCTACCGATATAGATTAAAGCAAATCATAATAAAAGTTTTTAAAATTAGATTTTGTAATAACAAATTTGCATAAAGATGGTAGAAATTTAAAAAAATTAGACATAATTTTTAGAAATAAAATTATTATTGTTAGTATAACGAATCCTTTGCTGTAATAAAACTTTGGACTATAATCAAAACATTTAAAACTTCATTGTAGGAATGGTATAAATGTAACATTAACAATTTATACGACATATCTACATGTCACTTTTATGTTTCTTGTACAAGTTTTTTTTCCATATTTGTTAATAAAAACAAATAAAAAAGATCGATGTCTATAAAGAAATTAGTATAAGACAGCATTTAATAACAGTAATGGGCTTTCTACAAAAGAAGTCACTATTTAAGTTTATTAAGCTATAAGCCATAAGAAATTGACTAATCATAGTCGAATATTCCCCTCACATTCGACTGTAATTGATCAATTTCTTATGGCTTAAGACTTAAAGTTTAGCTAATGACTTATTGTAGAAAGCGCATAAAGATAGGAGCACAGATTTTGGTATAATGCATAAGAAAATGAAGCATTTTGATTGGTTCATTTTTTCATACATTATGCGTTACGCAAAACTTCATGCTCCCACCTTAGAAAGAAAAATTTATACCATTGATGCAAAGAAATTTTGTTCAGATATTATAATAGTGTTATAGTGTCAAATATTACGCAAATATGAATAATTAACGATTACATTAGATCTTAGAAAGAAAATAACTTTTATGCGTTCTACATAATAGCGCATCTGTACTGTTTTACTGAATATTCCAATTAAATATTTTTCCTTAATTATTAAAAAAAAGATCAAAGTATTTCATTGTGCTCACAAGTATTTACTAATAATTTAAATCTGTAATGACAGGCGATTATGATAAATTTGTGCATTATAGAATGAATGGACTAATATAGTCACAATTAATTATATAAATAGTATTATGTATTCGGAAATTTTTTGTTGCTCGTCACAAATACTAATATGAGTATCTAATGTTCTAGCATGATGGCATAATGGCAAAGCTATAATTGTATAGTATTTACATCATAACGATCAATGGCTAGCCATATGTTCGACAGCAAACTGAACTTACATTGTTCGCAAATAGATTTTCGTTTTCAGTTCAAATTTAACAATCATAAAATTGTACAATCTTGAGAACAAGAATCTACCATATACAAATGTTTCTATGCCGACAATATTATTTATGCTTATAACAAATATTTTGGAAGAACATTGCCACCATACTGAAAATTATATTTTCACATTTCTTTTCACAGACGAATAAATCGCATAAGAATAAAAGAAAAAAAGACAATAAATGCTGCAGTAAACAATCAAAATGTATAATCAATTCAAGCAATAGACGATAATACATAACAGCCGCCTTCAGTTATATTCTTTTAAGCATTTAATTCATTTCTTTGCATTACAAAAGTTGTAACAAATAACGATATAGCGTACTGAAGGATGCGGTATGCATAATTTCATCAGAATGGCGGATAGTTTTGCATAGGTACCACAACCGGGGGAATTGGTGGCAGCGGAAGTGTGTGTATAAATGTGGGGTGATTCGGCTGAACCATAACTAACGTATGCTGTTGATTGGCCATGAAAGAATTATATTGAGTGGTACTGTATTGTGAGTAAGATGCGTTAACTGTATCTGAAATATTTTTGTAACAAAATGTGCCGGGCGTTTGGCAAGGGGGCCCCTGGATAGGACCCCAAGCCAGCTGCTAGCATCGCCGGTTATGCCAATGTGTCATGTAGTCTTGATAGCTTACAGTAATCTTCTCGCTCTGGTATCGCGTCAGTTTTACACTGCGTCTAATATCCGGTGTAACTAAGCCCTTGTAACCACCCTTATGTAATAGCGAGTCTATAGTTTGTATCTGGTCCCAACCTAATAAAAAAAAAGTGTCAATTTAGTGGAGACGAAAGCATACATTTAAAAAACATGAAGATTAATAGAATATTTCCTTAATAATCCACAGGACATGAATATATTTACAAACCTTGTTCAGTCGCAACATCAGGTAAGTAAGTAGCAGTTCTCTTGTTGCCTTTTTCATTATGGAACTCTATGCGAATCCCATGGACTCCTATCTCCCAATCTAAGTAGTCCACGCCGTCTTCAAAATGCCGCAGTATAGAAACGCTTACATGTAAGCGTGGAAGTTCCTCTCGTGTTATAGGATTAAACCGTGAATCTTTGAAAGCACTGTGAAACACAATTGTTTGTTTGAAAGCATTGTGAAATACAATTGATTGTTTAAAAAGTATAATCCAAAATTCTAGCCTAGCCAATTTAGGGTTATTCCATTTTTGAATGAAAATTGGTATATAATTTACTTACTGGATGAATAAAAGAACATAAAAGAATAAAAATATGTGCTGAAGTTTACCGAAAGGTGGAATTATCCAGTTAGAATAGATATATATGTTACCTAGTAGTAGCATATTCCCTAAGTCCTGCATGTAAGTGCATGGCATTGAATGTACCAATACAGCCGCGTAGTCGCATATCCTTTCCAATAGTCCATGTTACAAACAGAGGACTAGAAAGACATGAAAGAAAATGCGTTAATGATAAAATAAAATCACAGGACTTCAAAACTTAATTCATTGAACGTTAATTCTCTATTATGAAAGAGCATGTGCTATTAAATTAAATTTTCAATAATTTTAGTTACACAAGTATAAAACTGCTAAATAACCAGCTTCTTAAATCAATATTTAAATATAATGTTTATACTACTATCTCTATGTAAACAGTTTGTGTAAACATCATTATAATAAAATGTATCATGCTAGCGTAATCAATAATAATCTCTTCTAAATAAAAGGAGCAAAAGAGTAAAGTACAGAAAGAGTAAAGTAGTGAAATATAGATAAATCATGGTACAAATCTCTATCTCTAAGATCTAAAATCTAAGGGACTAACTGAGAAAGTAAAAAGAAACACATTCCAAAAAACGTTTACATTTCAGTAAATTATTCAGAAGCAAAACAATGCTAGTGTCTGGTACAACCTCGGCGGAAGGTCAGCAGCACAAGCCAGACGGAGTAAAAAATTGCAAAAAAATAAAAGGCATCCTTCAGGAGGCGTTTTTTTTGCATTTCGTCCCGCCCCCCTCTCCTCTCTCTGCTCTTTACTCCATGATGGTTGAAGGCACAAAAGCACAGCGATGGTTTCAACAAAGAGATGCACTGGTGTGGGTGGAGCAGAAAAAGGACAGCCATGAAAAGGAAAAAAAAAGATGCCATGATGCAGAATGGGCAAAAGAGGGACCTGGGGAAGCGGGGCAATGAAGACGTGCATGGGAAAGGCAAGAGTGCGAGAGTGCGAGAGAGCGAGGGAGGGGGGGGGGAGAGAGAGAGAGAGAGAGAGAGAGAAATGTGGCACGCGACGCATAGTCGGGACAGGGAGGAAGGGATACGTTGGACGCTGAGGTGACTAGCTCAGTAGGTGGGTCTAAACTCACAATGCTTCGTTGCTGAAGTTGGGCGGTTTTGGTGGGTCAAGTTGGTGCAGTTGGCAGTAGAGGACGTCGAAGCAGTAGAAACCCATCTCGGGCTGCACGATCGGTGTATTACGTATACGCGTGCCATTCGACAGCACCGCTGTGCCGTTGCACGGTACGCCCGCGGAATTGTTGTTGAGCTTCTGCTTTTTCGTACCGCAACAACCAGCAGCCATATTACCGTTTCAACCGTCGCCGTCGACCACTGCGGACCCGAACTGCGGACACGAACGAGCCGTATACGTCTCACTATCGTCCGCTCGTCGCGGCCGCCGCCGTCGTCGTCGTCGTCGCTGCCGCCGTTGTTCTCTTCGTTGCCTTAGCGTGCCGTGTCGCGCGCGCGCCCCACCAGATGGCGCGGCGCGCGTTAAAACAGCTGTTTCATCACCCGCCATTTTCGTCATCCTGTCGTTCTTTTCGCGCCCACATCTTTTAACGCGCTCCAATACGATCGACTGACGTAACGACGTTTGTTTACTCGTTCATCCGCGAGTCGTCATCGTACTCATCATCAGAGCGGTCGCTACATGCAAGGGTTCTTGTGTAAACATTTATTTATCATCTAGTTCTTCCTTTTTACAAAAGAAAACTAAGCATCACGAACTCAGAAAAAGAATAACGATTCTTTAACAATCGCTGTGTTTAGCAGAGAAAACAACTTTGTAACTGATTATATTAATACGATTGATTTATACATTTAGATTCAATGAGAAACTAAGGTTAATCATATTGAAGAATTTTATTAAATAATTGTAGAACTGCTTTCTCTGTCGAAACACAGTCAATTTATAATTGCTTACAATTTTTAATAATAAATTAATAATAAAATAATGAGATATGTAATAAGTAAAATTAAAAAACACTTTGTTGCAATACATATATATTCACACAAACATGTGCAGTATATTACGAATGTCAACAAATCGGAAAAATAATTTCTGTTGCTCAAAATAATTCCGGAAAATACCAAATTTACAACTTATAAAACATAACAAAGCGATTTATTCATGTGAGATCATTTATTATAAGTAATTAAAGTAATTAATAATTTACTATAAAATACTTAAGTATTTTTTTTATTTAAAGTAATTTACTATAAAATACTTAATTTTTTTTTATTTAAAATAATCTACATAATGTAGATTTTATAAATATGATTATTTTTCAGTTATAGTTAGAAATTTATTTTAATATTTTTAACTTAAATATGTAATCTATTTTTTAAATGTTCAATGTTTTTATTTGTCGAAATTTATCTTAAAAAAAATCAGATACTTTAGTAATGCTTTAAGAGTCAAATAATCGTGATTCGAAAGTAAATGAAGACAAATTATATAATATTTACAAAAAAATTTAAGCATAAAATCCCTTCTGTGGCCGAAAATGGCTTTTTTATTTCATGGTATATTTTAATGTTGTTAATAATTCAAATATTATATATTTATATTTTCATATTGTAGGTACATTTTTCCAATTTATTACTCATGTTACAATAATTAGATTTTAAATATTTTAATATTAATTTACAAATATGCGCGGAACGAAGAATTGTCCATCAGTTTAACCTTATAGATATAAAATTTAAAACCTGTTCTCTTTTGTCGTAATATACGAATAATAAACTTGAAAGTATGTACCAGTAGTATGAAAACATAAACGTATATAGTATTTGAGTTATTAATAAAATTCATAACGGAATGTAAAAGACATTTTCGTTTACGGAAGGAATTTAATTTAGCGTTACAGGTTTATATACAAGACTAGCGTTCTCGGCGAGTGAAAGCGACACAAGTCTAAGCGAATGTCTCAATTCGTATTTCCTCAACTTCTTCGCAACACCGTAAAGTCGTGCGATTACTTACCGCGACAGCTGCGAAAAGACATGCCGCTGTTGAGCGTCGAGTTCCATCGCGCACCCCCGATCGCATTTGCGAGGGTGGAAGCGGCGATACCACGTAACTACGTCGCACATGGAGCGTAGCGTACGAACCGGCGTGAACGAACGCGAACGAACACATACGTCGTTGAAATGACGACGCGATTCCTCTTGAACTGTTAATTTCTCGCACGAGACGGGACGAATGGCATCAGGGGGAAAAAAAACGTACTGTCGAGAACTTCGTCTGAAACACAGCACGCGCAATATGTCGACGCCCGTGGCGACCGGGCAATCACAGCGGTTTACGGGATTCACTGTCAATTTTCCCATACGAGGAACTGTCACGGTACGTAAATACGGCGATGACGCGCTCGTCGTGTATGCACTCCGTCTGCATGCATGAAAAACGTGTTGAACCGTGTAGGATTCGACGCCACGGCTGATACGCGCGTCTACGACGCGACGCGGCTCCGATCGGTCTGAGATAGTTGGACGCGAGTGCGTCGCGACGCCGGTTGCATCGCACTCGCGCGCGGTACTACGGCGCCATCTCTCTCGCACAACCATGTCATTGCATAATAAAAAATTTATATATATATATCTAAATATACATATACAGGGTGTCCCGGAAAGACAGATTTATTTTCTAGATAGTATCGATTATTTTAAACGAAAATGTTCATACGTGCACAAAAATATCATTCTATTGATAAGAAAAGTGATTATTTAATTTGTTATTTTCTTTCTTTTAGTAACGGGGTTATCTTTAATAAATAATATTAATTTGAGAAAAACTTATTAATATATATTCAAAATAAGAATTCATTTTTTTAAAAGAATATTATAAGATTGATCGAAGAAGCGACTTTGAGTAATAAGCAAATTGAATTTGTTTTAATTTAATGATTTTGATTGAAGTATTGTATTAGGATTTAGAACATATTTTAATAAATCTTATGCTTGTGATGAATTTCTTTATTGTAGATTTACGGATTTATGAACTTAAAACATAAATAATTATTGTTTACGTACAGTATGTATTTTTTTGTGAGTGTCCTATTTTGAATGATTTCCAAGATAGTTTGAACAGTAAAATTTTTGAAAGTTTATTACAAAGATCTCTCAAAGATTTAAAAAAGATCTCTAAAGTAAATGTATTTAAAATAAATTACATTTATTATTATTCCAATATTTTTTAAAATCGTTGGCTTCTTTTTATTTACAATTCGTTGATTTAAAAAGTGTGTCATTTGAGCAATGAATTATTAGAAAAAGTATGCGTCTATAACAGTAATTTTTTTTGCAATTGCACTTCAAAACTCGGAAACCGTTCAGAATAAGACAAGCATTTATATGAATATTTTTACAATAATCGATAACATTATTACCCAGAATGACCTTTTTCCTAGAACACCCTGTATAAATAATAGAGAAACTGTAACATATTGTAAATGAAAATATAAAATAGAATTCACTTTTAGAGACGATTCTATTTGAAAATCAAAATTTTATTCTGAATTCTGGTTCAAATTATTTAAATTATTGATGTGAATTTAAATACGAATTAGATTATCTAAAGTGAATTCTATGCCTAAATTTTAAGCAGAATCGTAAAGCTCGCAACATATTCTTGTTAAACCTGTAAGAATTTTTAAGTGCTTATACCTTCATACAATATTTTTACAGATAGCTTCTTACTAGTCATACAATTTACAAGAAATCTCAGATATTTATGAATAATTGTACATCTTACGATACATACGCATAAAATTTGAATACTAATCATAAATTTTTAAAATTTTTAAAAATTTTACGAGAACACATTACGTTTTACGATTTTGCTTAGAATTGATCCATAAGTATCACTCGTTAACATATTATATAATTTATTTCGTATTTTAATGAAATGAGTGCGATAAAAAGTTTGATTAAAAAATTGATTTTTACGCAATTAAGCGTATGGTAACATATTTTCTAATATTAATACATTAAATTTAGACCATATTAATGAGCATATTGCGCAATTATCAATACTATCGGCTCACGTCAGTGACCTGCCTAATTGTAGCCTCTGTAATTGAGCAATTGTATTTCAAAAACTACTGCTTGGAATAAAAAATTGCAAGAACTTCTTACTTAGTTTTTCGTGCCTAAAAATATTTTGATTTTCATGAATTTTGGAACACTTATACATATGTTATGTAACATATAACAAAATATTTTACATTATGTATAAATCTGTATTTTTCAACTACGCCTTTTTACATTTATCGCATTTATTCAAAATAAGTATACGTTTCATTTCGCTGCATTTTTGTGATACTAAATATATATTAAAATTACATGTTAAAATATATAAGTCATAAAGAGCTTTTTGAACAGAGAAAGAGATAAGGAATAATGCGGAAAGAATTGATTACGATGATTTTTATGACAATATAAAAGTTTATTTCATTTTTCCATTGCAATAAGAATTATCTATAGTACTTTAAGATATATTTTTTATATGAATATTTTTTATATTCTACTGACTTCTTAATTAAGCAGAAGGTGAGAAGAGAAGGGAGAGGGAAAGGGAGAGTGAGAGAGAAAGGGAGAGGGAGAGGGGAGAGAAAGAGAGAGAGAGAGAGAGAGAGAGAGAGAGAGAATGAGTTACGTTCGCTGTGTCTGACTTATAAATAAATAAAGAATAATCTATAGGTTCGCTGTATTATTAATTTACAAATGCAATCAAAATGAGCGTACATTCGCTTGATATTAATGTTATATTAGTATCAGTTATAATGCCAAGTACGATAATAAATATTAATCTGACAAGTACGGTTTGCTTTGGAAATTATTAATAATTTTCGTGTAATTTCATGTTATAATAATTATCGAGAGAAAGATTAAAAGTATAGTATAAACTATACATGTGAAATGCTTACTCTATGCAATTATAAAATGCGTACATCGAACAGATTTTTGTGGCAGTTTGATAAAATACAGAATGATTTCATTCAGTAAAATTCGTATGATAATTATCGATCTTAAATGTGTTCAATACGATTATATATATTTAATTGCATTGCGATAACATCAATAACTTACTTTTTTAGTAAGTGGGTTTTCCTTTTTTTGTATTTTTCGTAAACTCTTCGACAAACACGAATACAATTTACTTGCAAAATATAATTACACAACGCCAGATAGAATTATTTTCGTACTCACTGATGAAAATGCATCATTCATACGTATAAACCGTAATAAATGTCTATTACATAAATGGAGTTCCATAGATAGATCAAATGAGCACACATGAATCGACAGTATGTGGCAGTTCGTTGGACGTTTCTTATGCCAAGATTCACAGAAGGCAAGATGTTAGGAACTCGCTAATTATTATCGATGCAAACATTTTACGTAAATAATAATACTATAACGCATACTATAACGGATAAACATAGAGAGTAACACATACTACAACAAAGATAAGATATAATAACAATTATTTTATTTATTTCTAACAAATATTGCATTAGTATAAAAGACATAATAAGACGATTAAATTGGCAGTGTTTAAAGTCCGCTACTGAGAATAGCTGGTAATTCAAGGGAAGTAGAATTAACGCCGAAAAATCAGTAATTTATTTTTGTAGGATTGGAAAATTAAAATTTGTAAAATATACATTAATAGATGCACGGCTTAAGATACTGCAAGTTGTGCAACTATTACGAAATTACAATAGCTTATCAATCGAATAACACAAACTCACAATGAGATCTTTTATATATTTTTTTCTTTTATGTCTAACTTACATGTCTAATATTTATATCTTTTACTACGTATGATTTCTTTTCATACTTTAATAACTAAATCACAATTAACCACAGAAAATTTATATCATTTCTTTGTCAAACTTACTGTCTTTTTGACGCGATTAAATGCACAACGAATGTATTTTAACAAGGTAAAGATCTTTTTTTTCTAATGCAATTAATGCATAATTTATGTTCTATATTGCATATTCTATACCAATAAATAACAGAATTAACAGAAAGAAATTATATTCTTATAAATTTTACTAATTTTCACTTGACGTATGAGAATTATATTATATGTCATATACACATTGTACAAAAAATGGAATAATTCCGACATCATTTTGTACATTATATCATGTGAAAGCAGGCAGTGAATTTTAGGCATGATCACTGTCTTATAAAAATGTTCATTATCATTCTTAAATTGTATTATCGATGCAAATACAAACAGATTCTTCGCAATATGATGGCAAAGTTAATTGTCATAATTAAAATTAAATAAATTTATGTAAAAAATAAAATAAATAATATAGCTACTAAATAATTGAATGAGTAATATAACCAAGCTTTTTCATTATTTATCAATAAATCTCCGAAATCGGTAAAATTTGAGGAAATTGTTTTTTAATTCTAAAGTATTTGGCAAACATACATCAATGTAAATATAATATTTAATAGGTTTAAATTTTTTAAGTCACTACTTGTTGTTTTTAATACAATGTGCAACAATTAGACAATGCCATCATATATGATTTATTATTAATCTCAAGACGGAGCATGCGGTATCATAAATGGGAGGCTGTGTACACTAAGACATAGAAAGACGCACCACTTTAAACAGTGGAAAATTGTAACAAGTACCCGCCTCCAATGTCATTTTCGTTTACGTACCCCACGCTCCATGGCATCCTGCGTTAAGAAACGATGCGGTGGTCGAGGATAAAGCGGCGCAGACGGATAGGACGGACCCGCATTATCCCACCAAATAGGAGGATTGTTACGTATCGGTATCATAACTGGGGTGATCGGAGGTAAGGGTAATGGATGTATGAACGTCGAACGATTCGGTTGCGTGACAATCTGTAAACACTGTTGGCCAGACATGAAAGAATTGTATCGAGCGTTATCATTTTGTAAATGAGGCGAATTGACCATATGAGCGTTGTTATAACGAGCCTCAGCGGATCGTTGGGGTAGGGATCCCTGGCCGGGACCCCAGGCGATCTGCTAGCATCTTCGATTGTGACAATGCGTCATGTAATCCTGATAGCTCACGGTGACCTCCTCGCTTTGATAGCGAGTCAGTTTCAGGCTACGACGGATATCAGGTGTGACTAGGCCTTTGAAGCCACCCTTATGTAGCAGAGAATCTATCGTTTGTATCTGGTCCCATCCTGAATATCAAATTACAAGTTATTCCTCATAAAGACCTCCTCGTGGGAGGTGAGTTTCCATTGTTTGTCTTATTCTACGGTCGCAGATACGCACCTTGCTCCATAGCTACGCTGGGCAGGTAAGTAGCCGTCCGTTTATTACCCTTCTCATTGTGGAATTCTATGCGAATTCCGTGAACACCCACTTCCCAATCTAAGTAGTCAACTCCGTCTTCAAAATGCCGCAAAATTGACACGCTTACATGCAAGCGTGGCAGCTCGTCTCGAGTTATGGGATTGAATCGTGAGTCTTTGAATGCGCTTTAAAACATATAGAAACATATATCAAAAGCGCGTACAAACTATTATGCTAAAGCCTAATCTATAATGTGTTCTTTGCTTCCTGTTGCTTATTTTTTACTTGCCTTTTTTTTCTTTGCAATCGTTTTGTCAACAATCATATCTCTTTTCATATTTCTTGTCTCTTCTAAAGTTTGGCAACTTTTATTTCGGGCGACAGAAAACGAAGAAACTGAGTAAGAGGCAAAAAGACAAGAAGTAAATGTGATAAAAAGCAAGAAATAGGAAACAATGACACACTGCAGATTGTGCTTTAATATTACAATTATTTACATAAACTATGTGCTAGATCTTACATTATGACGTTTATACACACACACACACA